CTGACCACACCCCGTCCGACATCACCAAGAGCTCGACTGCGACGACAGGCCCACATAGACCCGCCAGAGGAGGCGAAGCTAGCCATGGGAAGTCCCTCGCAGACCACCAAACGCAGCAAATTGGAGGTGCGCGACTCAGGGGTGGGCCGAGCAGTCAAGGACGACTACTGGCCGGAGCCCCGCTGTCGCCGAGGAAAGCAAATCCGAAGCGAATTGTGAAGATGTGCCAGCGGATTTGGGATTAGGTTTTTTTCTCCTTTCAAGAGAAAATCAAAATATTTTTTTTTCTATTTTTTTAGCTGCGTCGGTATCCTTCCACTGTAGTCCATAGTTCATGATCCATGTGCAGCAGCATAAGAAATCTTAGAAGTATATAACCACCACATGCTTTGTGATTTATGGCATATATTCACGCAGCAGCTGGTTGGATCTCTGTCTCTTACATATAATTCTAAATAATTTATTCATGATATCATATTATCATTGCCTCTTTTTTCCTGCAATCATGAAACAATTTGTCTGAAAGTGTACAGTCATTTTGCTCCACTAACATTCCATGCTTACAACTTGTTACAATTACATATACTTTTGGCCAAATTCGTCTGAGGTAAAACGATTGAAATTTTAGTGAAGCATACCATCGATTATTTTCACCAAACATGTTAGAGATGTCCAACAGCCGGGTCGGCGGGCCTCAAATACTGAGCCCGGAACCGCCCCGGCTATACCTAAGGGTCTGTTAAAATGAACCGGGCTGACCTCTCGACTTACTAAACCATCGGTTTTTTTTAATTAAAAAAATAAAAACAACTACGACACGCTTTTTGACTCGAAACCGCCGGTCAAACAATAAAAACTGAGACTCAAAAACGGCACGGTTTTATCACGGGTCCGGTTAAGTATTCACTAATTTTGGACAAGGAGTTTAACCAAAATTGATTGTCAAAAATTTACAACCAATAAAAATGGAGAAAATGATAAATGAAGAACGGACACTGTCAAAATCTACCATGTAGTCAGAACAACTAGCCATTTACTGATTTTGCCTCGGTATTTGAAATGGAGAGAGAAAGAACAACACAAAAAAACTAAAAAATAAAAGGAAAATTATCATGCACCTTGTAAAAAAAATTGGAACAATTGAAAATCCAATCTGTAACAACAAATTGGATTTGTAAACATGAAATTTGTAGCAACAAATTTTTCATGTATTAAATTTATAAAAAAAAATAATTTTAAAACTTAACTTCTCTAATTAAATGTTTTTTTTTTTTTGGATTACATTCTCTATTGACTTTGATTCGATTAAACTTACTTTAATTTGAGGGACTAATGCCTTGATTTCTAATCAAAACTTGTAATTTTCTAAGAACGTAAAGTGCACGAGTTCTTGGTCACCTTCTCCACATCAAATAACGAGCGACGTATAATGCTCGGTTCGTCAACATCATTGAATTGCAAAATAAAAAAATTGTGTCTTTTATTGCCAAAACAAAGAAAGCCAAATTTGGGATTTGGTTTGCAATTTAACTAATTTAATCTATTATTTTTTTTCCTTTTATTTATTTTTTTAATTTATTATTATTATCTTTTTGTTTAGCAAAACAATCGGTAAATAAAAAGGCCGACATCCAGAGCAAGGATCTAAAACCAGTCATTCAAAACCAAAAAAANAAAAAAAAAAAAAAAAAAAAAAAAAAAACAATCAAATAAATAAAAACAATAAAATTATAAAAATTATGGCACCATTATTAAATTAAAATAATCCATTTTTTTTTTCCCTCTCTGTCTCTCACCTCCACTTTCTCTCTGGGTCGCACATTACCCTGCAGCTCCTCCCCTTTATAAGAATTGCGCATTTCGTGGTGTGCCCATGAAACCAACACAGGAACAACATCTCAAAAGAATATGGCCGCCGATCACGACCACCTGCCCGACAGCCGCATCTCCTGCCCGTACACCCCTCTCATAGATGCCCCCGTCCCGCCGGAGGAGGCCACGGGCAGGCGCCGGAGGCGGCGGCGGACCTCCGCGGTGGTCCTCCTCTTCATGTCGGGGCTTCTGGGCGCCGCCCTGGTGTTCGGAAACGGAATTTTTAGGAGTGAAGGGATGAAGGGCTCGGGGCCGCGGGGGATGAGGAGGCGGCCGCCCGAGAAGGTGGTTCCGGCCGGCCGTGGGGTGGCGGAGGGGGTGTCGCGTAAGTCGTTTTTCCGCGGGCTGCGGGGACCGCGGCCGTATTCGTGGAGCGACTCGGCATTGGCTTGGCAGAGAACCGCGTTTCACTTCCAGCCGGAAAACAATTGGATGAACGGTAATTCTGTTTTATTTTACGGAATCATTCCGTTGGAATTTGTAATTAATCGATCAACTATTTACGACGGTTACACGATGATCTAACGATTATAAATCCTGACGAAATGGTTCCGTAACCGAAATGTAGCATTAATATATATAAGTACGTTAATTAACATTATCTAAAAGCGTGTTTTTCTTTGTTTCTGGGTGGCGCTTTCAAATCCTCGCTGGCATTATTTGTTCAATCTCATAAATGGAAATCAGACCCTAATGGTAAGTCTACTTATTAGTGTTAATTGTTTCTCTTTCGCCTTACATAATAATCTTGGGTTGTATTTATAAATAAATACAGGCCCTGTTTTCTACAACGGTTGGTACCATTTCTTCTACCAATACAACCCGTACGACGCCGTCTGGGGCATCATCATGTGGGGCCACGCCGTCTCGAAAGACCTCATCCACTGGCGCCACCTCAGCGTCGCCATGTACCCCGACCAATGGTACGACATCAACGGCGTCTGGACCGGCTCTGCCACCATCCTCGAGAACGGCCAGCTCGTCATGCTCTACACCGGCTCCACCAACGAGTCCGTCCAGGTCCAAAACCTCGCCTACCCAGCCGACCCGTCCGACCCTCTCCTACTCGACTGGGTCAAGTACCCGGGCAACCCGGTCCTCCTCCCCCCGCCCGGCACCGACGCCAAGGACTTCCGGGACCCCACCACCGCCTGGCTCACCCCGCAAGGCAAGTGGCGCCTCACCATCGGCTCCAAGATTAATAACACGGGCATGTCCCTAGTGTACGACACGGAGGATTTCGTCTCCTTCCAGCTTCAGGAAGGGGTGCTGCACGCCGTCCCAGGCACGGGCATGTGGGAGTGTGTGGATTTTTACCCGGTCTCGAGGGTGGCCGAGAACGGGCTCGACACGTCGGAGAACGGGCCGGAGGTGAAGCACGCGGTCAAGACGAGCCTCGACGATGACAGAAATGACTATTATGCCCTCGGGAGTTACGACGCCGAGAATGGGACGTGGACCCCGGACGATCCCACCATTGATGTCGGCATTGGGTTGAGGTACGATTACGGGATTTTTTACGCATCCAAGACTTTTTACGATCAGGAGAAAAAGAGAAGGGTTCTGTGGGGTTGGATTAAGGAAACGGACAGTGAGGCCGCCGATATACGGAAGGGCTGGGCATCTCTTCAGGTAACGAGAAATTAATTAGCAGTACATTTTGATTCATTTAGATGCCTGAATTTCGATTTTACGCCAAATGTGTAGGCTATTCCGAGGACAGTAGTACTCGATAGGAAAACCGGGAGCAACCTCATACTGTGGCCGGTTGAAGAGGTAGAGAGATTGAGACAGGACAAGAGGACTTTCGATAAGATCGAGGCTAAACCGGGCTCGGTTGTGTCGCTTGACGTCAGATACTCATCTCAAGTAATCTATGCGTGATCTACGGATTTCGACTGAATCATAGGAGATTTCGACTGAATCATAGGTTTAATTTATGCTCCCTGCATGATTTTGCAGCTAGATATTGTTGCTGAGTTTGAAGTAGACAAAGAAGCCTTGGACAGAATAGAAGGCACTAACATGACCTACAGTTGCACGAACAGTGGCGGAGCCGCTCAGAGAGGGGCATTAGGACCGTTCGGTATATTGGTACACGCGGACAAGGACAGAACCGAACAAACTCCGATCTATTTCTATATATCCAAGAACATGCAAGGAAATTTAACGACCTTCTTTTGTGCTGATCATTCAAGGTTAGATACTTCGTCTAATTCATATCACACACACACACACACACACATATATATATGTTGCTGTTTGCTTGAATGAACTAACTGAAAAAACGGTTTTTGTAGGTCATCTGAAGCAACTGATGTGGACAAAGCAATCTACGGTAGTGTAGTGCCGGTGCTGAAAGGCGAAAAACTATCCGTGAGGATACTAGTAAGTTAAAAAAAAAAAAACTATATAATTTTCGGAAACTACGCAAGGAAAGTATATAAATGACATACTCTGCCCTCCGCTTTCCAGGTGGATCACTCGATAGTCGAGAGCTTTGCTCAAGGCGGGAGGATCTCCATCACGTCGCGTGTGTACCCGACGAAAATTGTCGAGAATAGCGCACAGATTTTTGTGTTCAACAATGCTACCGATGTGGGAGTCACTGCATCAGTGGAGGTATGGCAAATGATGAGTAGTCCTGCTAATAATGTTAACAGGCCTCCTCTTCTGGTGCTCTGCCCAGCAATCCTACTTCTTGCCATGTTGTATATTTGGTAATGGATAGAGATATATATGACATATTTTCTCTTCTCCTTACTACTATTCAGTGTGTAGTGATAATTTTCCCTCAATTTTTATATGATCTTTTAAGATCAGTGTACAGAGATGGTAATGGAGTACATTGACTCTTAACTTACATCTTTTCCTTAATTTTTTTTTTTTTAAATGATATATAAAGACATTTTTATTCGTGTAATACGATGCTGAAATTAAAAATAAAAATAAAAAAAAAAAATAGAAAAATAATCATATTTGCCAATAATGAAAAACTAGTATATCACAAGAATTCAACTCACCCCAGATCAAAGTTTCAAGTAATCATCAAAAGGTTTACAAAGTAAATTTCATAGTTTGAAACTATAGAAACTCTCCTTTGAACCAAAAAAGAGCTTTTCATGTCATCACTTTGGTCCAGCAAATTTGCTCATCATCTTGGCTATAATTGGAGCCACCTTCGGGTTCGCCTGATGCTTTGCCAGGTTTGCAGGGTTCTTCATGACTGCCAAAAATAAATAAATAAATAAAAATTAGAGATTTCAAATATAAATGCCTAGGTCTGTACTGCACAATATCACAATTCTTCAACATCAGTCTATAGTGAGCTACTCTAGAAAATTTTGAGATACTGAAATGAACTCGAAGCCATTCATCAAACCGTAACTTCTATTATAGAAATACTCAAAATAATATTGCGCATTGGCAAAAGGGCCACACGCCTACAAATTACTTCGCTGACATGATTCAATGAAATTGGCACGAATACAATTTCCTGCAAACTAAAATAAAGTTGAAATAGATGTTCACTCGTAAAAATCCTATACTGTATTTTAGCTTGTTCTCCCCATCTACATGTGGACCCAATCATAGTTTTGATTCACTCGACCAACAGTAGAGCTAGAAGATAGTAAACACGCCAGAAAAGAAAGTGATGAGAACAGTCAAAGTTTAAGACCAGGAAGACAAATCAAAATCATCATGAATCAGACCTTTCCTGGTTCAAATTTGAAACGCAGAAAGGAAAACATGCAAGTGCTGAATGCAGCACCAAATCAATAAATTGAGACCTAATTGATGGCATTACGGCTCGTCACACTACTATAAAAACAGATTTACTACAAAAACAGGTAAAACAGAGTTTATTAACACAGCATAATCAGGTAATATCCTTACTAACACACAACAAAAGGAGTCGAGGGAAAGTACCATCTTGGAGTGCAGCCATAACTTCGGGATCTTGGAATGCAGCCATCAATTCAGGATCCTGCTAACACATAAAGAAAACTGTTATGTATTGCACAAAAATATGACATATAACAACAGAACTGCTGACAGGTGTGAATAGTACTACAATCTCAACAGTCAAGCACCTAACAGTCGAGCACTATCGCTCAGATTCATAATCGATGGTAGTATCACGTAATCATCACCAAAACATACATTTTAAACTATCTACAAACTACATAGGTAAAAACGACTCAGAAATAGGACTGAGTTTGATGCTTACGCTCAGAATTTTGCTGTAGTCAATACCCCCGGGCATACCACCCATGCCAGGCATACCGCCAGGCATACCACCCATGCCAGGCATACCACCCATGCCAGGCATACCACCGGGAAAGCCTCCACCAGGAAAGGCTCCAGGCATACCACCACCGGGAAAGCCTCCAGGCCGGTTACTCGATGACTGCTCTTTCTTCTTAGCCTTTTCATAAGCAGCCTTTGCACATGCACAAAATGCAAATTCAGTATATGAGGGGAATTCCAAAAAAAAAAGGAAAAGACAGAGAAAAAAAAAACAAAAAAGAACGTAAAGGAAACAGAGGATACCTGAGCTTCAGCTCGACGACGCTGTCGGTCACGTTCAGCCTTCCTATCATTTCTCTCCTTTCGAAGTCTGTCATATTTCCTACGATGCTCCTCAATCTTATGTGCATTTGGCTCAACCTATTATCATAAGTTATAAAGTCTAAGTACCGCGACCGATTACCACCACAAAGGGCAAATGTATCTTCTCTGCATTGAGCTCCACCTATTTCCCAATATAAATAAACACTATCAAGCATGTTTATGCTACCTAATCCAATTAAAGACCAACCTTCTTAAGTACAGCATTGATTTCCTCATCGTAGTCTAGATTTGATGCCACGTGGAGGTCTTTGGCAGCTTGATCCCATTGCCCAAGCATTGCTTTCGCTATGCCACGTGATTTATAACCTTTCGCAGAATCAGGATTGATCTACAATCAAAATCATCAATGAAGTTTAATGCCCACCATCAATGCATGACACCAGAGAAAGCAACGCAATAATCTTTGACTAAATGGCAGTTCGTGAATACTTAAGCAGCCAATAGCTGCGCAAAGTTAGCACAGCCCTCCTAACCACTTCAAGCAGATGTTATGAGTATTACATACTCATGCTCGAACTCCTATTAGTTTGTCAAGAAAGGAAAGGAAACTTTCAAAATAAGAAAAGTAACCCACCTCGAGAGCCGCAGTAGCATCCCGAATGGCAGCATTTGGTTTCTTCAGTTTGATGTAAACACTAGCTGCATTTTGCCAATCAAATTCAAATAAGTTCCCCCTCCAGATACAGCAAACTTGTGCTATGAGAATTCAAAGAAAATTAATAATATAAAAGATAATCATAATCTACCTCGGGTCGCATACATAATGGCAGAAGTCGGGTTAAGCAGAATCGCTGAGGTGAGATGTTCAATAGCTTCTTCAAGTTTACCTGAGATATAAAAATCATTTGAAAGCACATCATCAAAATATGATCTTAAACGCAGTAAATTATGATCATGCATACAAGCACATGCACTACCTTCACCAATTGCTTCCATAGCCTTGATTTTGGCCTCTTGTGAAGCATCCCTGTTTTCTTCAGTAACCTCAACAGATTGGTCCCCCATCTAGAAGTTCCAATTTTCCAAACAAATCTATTTACTACAAGAGGCATTCAAGAAATAATCCAATCAAATTAATATTAAAAATGTTGAACAAACCTTCTGTGGAGGATCATTATCAGGCTCCACAATATCGCTCTCCTCAAGTTCAATGTCAGACTCAACTATTTCAGGCTCTTCCTCTTCGTGAGGTGGTTTATATTCAGCGTCATCCATATCTTCATCAGCCTCATCCACAACATGAGACTTCTGTGATAAAGTAAACAAAATTAGAAATATATGTCACATTAACCTAAACAGAAAAACAGAATGAAAGGAGTTCCTCAATTTGGAAAATAAAACCTTAAAGCAAACCAGCAAATATCGTCGTAAGATCTTTATTTCGAATATAAATGTTAGCCATTGTCCTAATGACTCAAACTAGTTTTCAGACAGCTAGGAGAGAGCTATATCTCAATTTTCAGATCGTCGTTTCAAAAGTCATGCTCCTCTTTCAGTTTCCTCCATACACACTTACACTCACTCTAGAAGAGTACATCAACACCAATACATTACTCCACATATAAGTCATAACTAATCAGTTTTCGACATCACAATGCACCACTTATTGATCTTCACACCATTTAGTCACTTACTAGTGAGTATATGAAACAACCATAACTTTGCACAAGTAAACTAAACCATGAAAAATGGGATTAAACAAAAAATGAAAATCGTAATCAACAGAAGCAAAGATAACGAAACCTAAACCCCAAGACAAAAGACATACCGCCTTATCATCCCTCCCAGGCGACGGGATCTTGCCACCAAGGCTGAAAATTCATCAGAAAAGTGAACTCAATCCATGTCAGTCCACCAATTATTCTCAAAATAGAATACATCAGACGGCATAACAACGGGAATTTCTCAAAATAAACATACGCATAATGCAAAAAAAACCTAATCATAAACAACACCGACACAAATACGCGCGCTATACCTCTCGATGTACTCACGAAAGAAGGAAAGAGATGGGTACGAAAGAATGGAAGGATTGGACTTCAACTGCTTGATGAACTCCTCCAGCTGTTGAATCTTCGAGGCGTCCATTTTCCGGCCGGTTAATTACGTCAGCAGAAATCGGCGGAGCAGAGATTCTTGAAGTGGATCAGAAGAAAATATGAGTAGGAGAAGCAGTGTTGGGCCTTTCTTTATTGGCGAGGGCCTTCTAGTAGCTTCTTTCTTGTAGGGGGTGTTTGGATAAACATTTCGACACGGCCGTGCCAGCACAATTTGCTTTAATTTTTAGGGTTTCCTTTATGAATTCTAGTACTCTCTTGTGGTTACTAAATGTGGAAATTGGGATAGTTCAAGAAAAATATTTTTGAGAAAGTGTTTTTTACTTCTAAACTATCAAATTGATGCAGAATTATTATTATTATTATTATTATTATTATTATTATTTTTATTATTATTATTATTATTATAAATCGGATCAAAATAATTACAAGAAATTAGAGGGGAGCCGAGATACTATCTGGGCCCCCACTCCTTTTGCAATGGAAAAGCTAATACGAGTGAAAATATGAGGAGCAGCACGCGCCCCCACGTCCTGAGATACAGAATACTTCTGTATCCTCTTGAGTAGGGCAATGGCCTCCGTGTGCAACTCCCCTAATGAAGAGAAAGAGAATGGAAGAAATCCATAACCCTTAGTTGCACACAAGGCGTCGTATTTCGCACGTTTGCGATGAGCGGCATCAACCACAACACGTCCCGGAACGAAGTCAGACATCCCGGACTGGGTCAAGGGCGAAGAACCAGTCAAATCAACGCAAACGTCAAGGCCCCCGTCCCATGAGTAAAGTAGCAAGTCAGCAGGGCGAAGGAATCTATCTTGCGCATCGAGGAGCCCAATATCGACCTCCTTACCAACAGAGATCCCGGAGCGAAAGCAGACATCTAAAAGAGTATCGCACAAGGTTATGGCGATGTTTAATGCCAACAACACCGGCACATGACACCGCATGGTCGCCATATATATCTCCATCAAAGACTCGAGAGCAAGCCGAACATGGTCTGGAAATTGAAAATAATGGCACACCTAACCGATAGCAGAGCACAGCACGGTAGGTCTTACCATTCATCGTTTGTCCTAACCCAGAAATCGGGACTGCGCGGAGCCAATCAGATGCGTGATCACCCTGTTGAGACTTCCACAAGGCCACCTGCCTAGGAGATAAAGAGAATACAGGTTCCGCCGAATCGGTAACTCGAGTGAAATATATATCTGCCAATTTCTTCATGAATTTGGGGGCAGCAATCTCACTAGAAGCACTCAATAAGTCAGTATCTGCAACCCTGTTAAACACCTCCAAAGCATCACCAAAGGTAATGCCCGCATCAGTGATCCCAGAAGGAAGAAGAAGCTTAGTCTGTAACCCTGCAGACTGAAGTCGGGACGCCAGGAATGCATAATTTACAACATCCCCAGCACAATAGACTCCCAGGCCCCCAAACGAAAAAGGCAAGGTGGCAAGCCGCCACTGCCAGTCACAAAACCCGGGTCCAGAAGCGGTAACAATACGCTCTAAACTAGCGCGAAGGGCCAAATCAAAAGCATGTTGCGCTGCCTTAAAAACATGAAGGGGGCAAGTGCGCATGGCAAAATAGAGCTTAGAAATACCTGCGCAAGCACGGAGTAGTAGCAACTCACATTGCGGATCATTAATCTTAGCAACCGCATCCATAAGCTCTATAGTTCTGGCTACTCTCTTCAACACAAGCTGAGTACTGAAGTCATCACTTACACTAACAGGTCCACCAAGGACCTTGACCCCAAGCTGAGGTCGAGCAATATTGTCTGGGAAGACTCCAGCAAGCCGGCTCCGAGGATCCTCAGTAGGCCAGAAAACCTCAGTTTTATCAACATTAAGATGTAAACCAAACTGAGGACCATCCTCCATGATCAACTGAAGAACCTTACCCACAACCAGGGTGTCACCCACGATCGTACCATCATCCAAATACCAAGCCTGTAGGGACAAGTCAAAGATGTCTTGAATCTTACGGACCAAATGATGCAGCGCTAAGGCAAAAAGTAGTGGGCCAAGGGGGTCACCCTGCTGGACCCCTTGGCAGGATCTTAAGGTGTGCTCCCCATAATACAACCTGGCAGGGCTGGAGTAGCAGAACTCAACCCATCGCGAGAGAGAAGGGCAGCGAGAACGTACCTCTTGCAGCATAGCCTCACGATTTACCAAGTTAAAAGCATTCTTGAAATCTACCAGCAGCATGGATAAGCCTACTGTATCTCCACGAGCCTCAACTAAACGATTCAAAGCATGAAGAATAGCTTCTCCTCCACTAGACACCCCAACACCAAATTGCAGACCATCAAAATAAGAACGCAAAGAAGGACCAATCAGAAGAGCACCAACCTTAGAGACTAGGCACCTCCAAATGGTACCCACAGCAATAGGTCGAATACCACCACCAGGTTTAACAAGCGGAGTGAGTGGGGCACTAGCAATATACTCACCGAGCACCTCTGGACATTCCCCACCAAGAAAGAGGTTAACCACATGTGTGATAGAGGAGATCAACTCATCCGAAATGGCAGCAGCAGCCCCACTCAAGCAATCAATAAAGTGTTGTGCACGAAACCCATCACGTCCACAAGATGTACCACGCGGGAAACTCCTAATACTATCAAGAACAACGCGGGTGGAGGCTGTGAGAGGCTCACAATCCACATCTAAACGAGGCAATGAGGGAGGAGGTGAAAAGGGGTGCTTTGCCTGCAACTCCTCAAGTGTGGCATCTGTATAAAGGGGCAACGCCAGAGGAAGAGAGGACCCTAACCGCTGCAGTATAATGGCCATCACATATCTTTCTCTTACACTGGCGCAGACTACTCTCGACCGAATCCAAGTCATCATCACCAACACCAACCAAAGGGGGAAAAGGCTCGGCCAAAGTTTCTCTAACCAGTAACATCGCCCTCCCAGGTTCACCCCATGACCAAATAGCAGCGGTAATGCTCTCTTCTTGCCTTAGACGTTTAGTACCAGACTTACACTCAAGACTACTTCGGGGGCGAAAGGTCCTGAGGATACAAATTGGCAAAACAAGCAAACTAACCCAGCAAGAGAGATCATCTGTCTTACAAATGACCTTATCGAGAGCGCCTAGCAAAACACGAGAAAACCCCAAGCGGCACTTAGGAGGTATAGATTTCACAGTGCGAAGCCCCTTAGAAAATAAACTATCAAGTAGGGCCACATCGAAACCAAACGGAGGATCATGCGAAAATCCCCGAGAAAAAACAAGATCAGCAGAACAAGGGGGTACTGGCTTGGGAATATCATAAAGAACAAAACGGACAATACCATCCCCACAATCAGGGGGCGCCACAGGGTCAGATCCCCCACTATGATGGCACTGTTTGCGAAGAGCAGGAATTTTAAAACAAACTCCACAAAGCCAATGACCCATACGCTTAAGAGTGACCTCAGCTGCACTAAAAGCGTTAAAATCAGAAGTAAGGGTCTCTCTTGTGATTGCCCGCGCATCACCCGTGAAATGCTTCTCACGAAGGTGAACAAGTAGGGAGGCTTTGGTGAGCCCCTTACCACCTTTGTCCGTGCAACCACCAAGGCCAACGAAGGGACAATGAAAGCAAAGGACGTTCGGCATGGTATACACCCAAGCAAAACAGCAGAAAAGCAAACAAGTAACAGAACACCAAACCAACACAACCAAAAACAGCAGGACAGCAGACGAGGAAGTCGAACCCAACAGGACAAAACAGAGATTGACAAGCCTCGGACGGAGATGTGACAGGGCCGTGAAGGTGGTCGTGAGGCAGAGCATGGAAGGTCGGAAGAAGGTGCAACCCGATTTCCGATCCACGAACACGAAAGGGTCTAAAGCCCCAGAATATGAGCCACCTGATGCCTTGGCGTTGAAGTAGCCCACGGAATTAGGGGAAGACACCTCCGGCGTCGCCTGCCGTAGCCGGTTCCTGCCGTTGCCGGTGGAAACAACGCACAAAATTGATGCCGAAGACCCGCACCCTAAAAAAAACGCGACCTGCGTTTACAAAACCCTCCCCCTGAAAACGCGACCTGCAATACGCAACCCCTCTCCCAAATGGACGGTGGTGGACGTGGTGAGCGGTAGTGCCACCGATGGAGGGCCAGACGGTCGGAGCCGGCAGGAAGGCTGCCCGGCTCTCCCAAATAATTTGATTATTTAAAAATAAAAGGGATAATTGAGAATAAGTTATGGTTCAGTTAGCTTGGAGAATTTTATTATTATTATTAGTTAGCTTGGAGAATAAGTTATGGTTCAGTTTGAGAATTTTATTTAACGGGTTCTCTTGCTTTGTTGTTAAATGAGTTGATTATTGAATGAAAAATATGAATTGATTGTGAGTTTGATCGAGAGAGAGTATATCATTTATCCTTTTTATTCGTAGCTTCCCTACATCATAAATGTTATTTGGACTTCGGGTACTAGAGATTATCAACTTGTTTGCTCAATAGTTTGTGCTATAAGCTTTGTAAATGGTGGTAAAATACAAAAGAAGAATAAGAATTTATAATTCTAATTAGGGTATGTATAAGTTTATTGACATTTTTTTTTTTTTTGTTGCGTAGCACAAGAAACAACTAAAATGATTGTCAATCCAAATTGCAAGTAGTCCATTATTGGCATGTAACTCAAGTTAATGGGTTATTTTGGGGGGAGAGTGTCGTACTACAATCTTATAAAGAGCAAAATAGTGAAACATGTCACAAAAATCCTTATCATTTGGTAGAGATGTTAAGAGGATGATTGGATATAAAATTTTTTGGTTTTGTTTAGATTTTTTTGTTTGGTTTGGTTAGATTTGAAAAAGTTGGTATGGTTAATTTTTAGTGGATATATTAAAATAATATTTAATATAAAATGATTAAAGTTGATTTGATGTAAAGTAGGAAAGAGAAGATTTGAAGTGATGGTTAATTAAAATTATGTGAGTGGATGAATAGTAAATTAAGGTTGATGTGTTGTGTAAGAATGATTGATTGATATTTTTTAATTATATTAATAATATTGATGATAGTGGGGTTGATTTAAAGTTGGGTTAAAAAAGTGGTTGAGTTAAAAATGTTTGAATTTTTTTGAGAATTTTTTGTATCCAATCATGCTCAATCTTGAGCTTCATTCGATCGAGATTATATAAGGGTATTTATTTGACCCATTTAAAATGGTTCAATGTGGTAATTGTGTATTTTTTTTATATTTAATTCAATATTAAATAAATACAATGAAAATAATAATGAATAAGTGGATAATAAGTCACATGTGTTTGTATTTAAATGAATTCAACCAATGTATGAGAGTGTTTAAATGGAAAGATATTTTAGTGGAAAGACATGTGTGGGCATAATGTAGACGAGAGATAGTGTAAATTGTGATTAAATGAATAAGAACGGGTATGAATGCCTTAATTTGACTAATATAATATGTATCGAATGGACCAAACTCTACACATTACGAATTAAATGAAACTTATATTTTTAACATATGGTGGGTGAATTAAATAAAGGACAATGCTACATCTATAATTGTAGTTTAGAACATTAGTTAAAAGTATCATTAAGTCAAATTTTAATTATACATTTATTAGCATCTCAACAACCCACATAATGTCACATCATGTTGTCATTGAATATTGTACGAAAGTTGTACAAATAGTTTTTTCCTTAACTAAAATATTCTTGCATCCTCGAGTTTGATTGCCTTGAGAGCGATAGAATACAAACGTGCAATGAAAATATTATCTCATTGGGGGATCATGCTTGTGTTTGATTATATTCAATGAATCAAACAGTGCACAAATATAACATCAACATAGATGCATGTTACGTTAAATGGAATGAAATCATTATTTAAAATAGCTCGCTATGTTTATTTTTTTTTTCCAAAAAAGGGAACACATCGTTTTATATTTAGCGTTTTTCTCGAAAAGCTTACGTAAAATGTCGAAACGACACGCTTTTTTACGCTATTTTGCGTTATCTCACGCTATTGTGCGCAACATTGCGTTATATGCTGCAACGAAATTTGAACAGTAAAATATTCCAAAACTCGTATATTTTAGGGATTAGAGTAATACTTTGAAATGACAACTAAAAACTGAACTTTTGATAATGATTTTAAATTAAAAGTCTGAAAGCAAAGTTCTAAGTTGAATAGTGCAATATTTATCGGTCCATTTCTATTATATCATTTTATATTTTTGATATTAAACATGTGAATAAAGAAAAAAAAGTTCATATATAGCGGTTAGAATTAAGTTGCAGTTAAATAAAATAATATTTAAAGTGCATATACTTAAAATTAAACTATGACGTACCTCATTATATTTTCGTTGTTTGTTTTTTCTTTTTAGCATGTTCGTTTTATTATTTAAAAATTTATATTATGATATCTACATTAAACATTTGTGAAAAATAATTTTTTAAATGTTATTTTTAATTCATTCAAAATATTATGATAATTTATTATATGCAAATATATTTATAATATTTCTATAACAATAATTTTTTATAGGCAAATGGTTTATGCAACACGCAACACTATTTACAGTATTAACCATACGCAGTTTAAAGACCAAAACGCGACAATTACTCTATATGCGTTTTAAAACACTGAATGCAACAACAAAATTGAAACAGGAAATCTAACTCCATCTCTCATTACCCCTCTGGTCAATGAAAATTGTGAGTTTTATTCACACCATCTTGATTCCCACCATTACTACTAACTAATTTGCCACAACTTTTATGCAGCGATATCCATTTCCTCTCTAGTCATCTACTCACAATTTACAAGTATTCCCAAAACAGCAAATACCAAACACAAATTAGAGTTTCCTGTCAAAGAAAACAAAACAATAACAATGTTGGTCTCATCGATTGGCCCAATGTTCAGAGAAAACAGATGGGGAAAATACTCGTTTTTCAATCACGGGCAATCCCCTTGTAGCAAACAACAATGAAAGGGTGAAAAATGAATAGTTTGTCTTCAAAACTCAAAACCACTGATTATGAATCACGGGCATGCGTATCAGAGCTTGGTTTTTTGTCCCACGTTTTAGTCTGGACCTCATCAGCTTCTTTGTAGTGCTTTCCTGCGTGATTGGGCTTTAAGCTTATTCATTCGCTTTTGCTCCGCAAGAGCGGACCTGTGAGGCAACAAAAAAGAAAAGGATAACTCAATATTCTTCAATGAGAAAAAAATAACAACAACAACATAGTTTTTTAGTCCCAAGCAAGTTGGGGTAGGCTAGAGATGAAACCCAAGAGAACCCAATGAGAAAAAGTAAAATCATATATAATTCAAAATGCCAGGTAGCAAATTGCTTGAAAAAATATAAAACAAAAGGAAACAAAATATAATAGATGAGGAAAGATAATTCATTTCCACCATTCCTAAAGTCACACTGATACATGCAGGGATAAACTATAGATACTGATAAAAATAGGAAGAAGGAAACTGCAATGATCAGATGTATGGCTTACAACAACTCAATCTTTTTCATAGTATCGTTTGAAGGAGGAACAGGGACGTATGAAGCAGCATCGATAATCTCCTGTCTCATTGATTGGGAAATGATCAGAAGCGCTCACAGAAATAATTCTGTTCAGAAGGCCATCAACTAGTACAAAATCATAAAGCTCGTGACATTCCTATTATTGAGCCCATGCTTTCCAGCGGAAAAGCTAAATGGACTTGTGTTTTTCCACATGTACCTGTAATTTCTTTTTTTGGTAAGTGAAAACTTGTAATTTTGCCAAAGCATCTTCGAAGTTACCTCTGCACACACACACACACACAAAAAAAAATATAATCATGAACTATTGCTCTGGCATATCAAAAACAGAAAGAACAATTAATAAAGTGGTTGTTAGTCTTCACTGTTGAGTTCTAGTCTTTGATGAAGTAATCACTATCTCTCCATCTTTGTTGATCCGGTACTTCTCCTATCAAGGATAGAAAATAAGAAAACTTTGGAATGACAGTGGCAACACTACCATAAAGGGTCATACAATCTTAAGAATCCATGTCAGAAAAAACAAAAGAAGAAAATAGATGTATGTCGGTAGCAATAACAATAATAATACAGTAGGGGTATACTAAGATTTTCTCCACAAACTCGACAATGTCGACAATGATGAACTAGTCCACCCATATCAAACAATTTTCATGTGTGTGCGTGCATGTGCTCCCGTTAGTGGTTCCTACCTGTTTTTATTTATTTATTTATTTATTTATTTTTTACTGGGACATCCTACCTGTTTTTGTATATAACTATTTGTTTCCAAGAAGTGATAGGATATGAGGAACATTTTTTATCAGGCCCATTAAATTTGATATCCTACCTGTTTTGTATATGAGGAACTATTTGTTTCCTAGTCTCTATCAATGCTTATCTTCTAATAAGATTGGGCGAATATTGAGTGCGCAAAATATAAAATATGACTTGTTATCTAAGAGAAAGGTATCGAATTACGGAAAAGTAGATCCAAAAGCGAACAGATTTTGAGGAGCGTTTCAAATAATGATGCACTGTAACTCTGTAACCTATATTCAGAGTATACAATATATGGATAATGACTAAGGCGTAATAGAATATCCCACAAAAGCAATGTTGCTGCTAAAAGGTTGAACTACTTGATAATCAAACTGGGAAAACTTCGGCCCCACAAAGTTAGCAGATCATGATACTGGAAAAGTACAAATACATTCCATGGTTGATACTATATTTATTGGCAAATCATCTGAGGCAAGATAGTAAATAAAGTACATGGACAAAGCAACTCAAATGACAACGAAAAATAAGCAAGCAAAATAGAGATATAAGTAAAAGTAGACTCACCATTTGCATAATCCTCTCCCTCACTTTTTCATTTAGCCAGAGTGCATTTTTAACATTAAACCGCATTTCAATCTTGGAGTTAACTGCAGTGAAGTAAAGTTAATTACTAGCTTTACAGCCCGTATAAGTTAGCCTGAGCACATATGGCTAAAGTAAAGCGATCCCATACCTATGTTGTTAGCATTCTGGCCCCCAGAACCACCACTCCTTGCATAGCCTATCGTAACATGTTCTGCAGATAAAACCAACTATGTTAAGATCGTAAACAAGTTTCATAGAGATTCTAAACTCCGAAAAACATCTTAATGGCCAACTTACTACGATCAACTAAAAGTTCTAAACCCATAAATAGAGGAACACTTTGAATTAGCAATTATTGGATTGTGGATCAAAACCGAACAATACAAGAATCTGGAAATATTTTGAAAACACACTTCTCTATCCCTCCACGACTACTCACCAAAAGCAACATTGTGGAAATGGAAGAGGAGAAAGTACAAATCTATCATGGAACAGATTCTCGTAATTATGAATCAGGCAGCTAAATGAATTTTGCCTCATAATAATGTGCTGTGCAAGAATCAATCATCGCCCAGTTCAAGAATCCATAAATCCTTTTCATACATTATCAACAGCTCATGTACAGCACAATCAACAATTGGTTGATAAAGAACTCCATCTCTTTATAGCTTGAGTATATACTATCCATAATCCCATTTCTATAATCAGTAATGGGCTTGATGTCGATGCTTGATTCCATCCATTTAGAAGCCGATAAGATTATCTTTTACCCGTAAGAACACAACCCAACATAAATTCACAAACCCAATTGCTAAAACAATCAAAATCGAACAGAAAAAAAA